TGTATTTACATTTAAGCATTTTAAAACGTTTTCGCTTTGTCCAAATATTTTAACGCCCGAGTCAATTAAGCAAAACGATTACACTAATAAACGGTTTGCTTTTTTATTTTAAATTACAGAAACAGAAGTTTATGCACCTGTGGGATCAACTTAGTGCTAGGGCATTCAAATTATAACAATAGGATAATTTCTATAGTGTCACTTTTTTGGGGGACACCCTGTATAGCAAGCCCTGCACAGACGCACACTTGTATCTCAATGCCAATTCGTCGCACCCAAAATCTCAAATTTTGGGTATTGCTAAAGGAGTGGCATTGAGATTGCGTCGCATATCAAGTTCTAGGGACGATAATTTTTGGGAGAAAAGTAGGATTTATATGAAATATCTTACAGATTGCGATTTGCGGCCATGATAGTGCACATGTTAATGGAGCCTTTGAGGTGGTTGGTGCTATGACTAGTGAGGAAGCGCGTACTAGTAGATGTAAAGTTCGTCGTAATTCCTGTGTTTTTGTTACCAAGTTTAATCCTAGTGCTTCTGATATTCGAAAATTGTTTCGTAAACATCACTCTGTTTATACATATATATATATATATATATATATATATATATATATATATATATATATATATATATATATATATATATATATATATATATATATATATATATATATATATAAAAATATATATATATATATATATATATATATATATATATATATATAATATATATATATATATATATATATATATATATATATTTACAGTAATATCACACACCCTATTTTTTGCACTGTAGATCAATAATTAAAAATTCCAAGTGATTGAATTCTTTAGAGTCTATGATTGTTCCTATTAAAATTTGATAAAAGTGCCTATTGAATTCTGTGGAGCCTAATTGTTCCCATTAAAAATTAACAATTCAAATTAAAATCAAGAGTCCTAAATGGTTATTGTTCTTCCTATGCAACCGTTCATGATGTTATGCGATTTCTTTTGTATTTCGAATGCTTCAATGCATTTCCTTTTGTCGGCGAATTTAATATTTGAATGTAAGATTTTCCAAGTTATATCATTATGTTTTGGTGCATATCCTGTTTCTTTATGTGATTCCAAGTGCTTATAGACTGTTTGTTTCTCCATTGTCAAATGTTCCTTAATGCGTGATCCTATTGCTCTGCCCGTTTCGCCATCCAATATACAAGATTCCACAATGTGAGCAGGTAATTTCATAGACAGCATTCTTTCTTAAACATTGCTTGGAATTATATATTATCATGCCGACCCTTTTATGGTCTTTTATTTATCCTTCGATAGTGTGCATGGTTCTGAAATTATTATATCACTGATGTATTATGAGATTATTATATCACTGATGTATTATGAGATTATTATATCACTGATGTATTATGAGATGTATATCATGCAAGAATCATGACCTATAGACCTATAGTATAAGTCGACTTACATGCATGCAGCAGTTTCAAATTCTTATGATGGTGAGAATTGACATATTCGTAATTAATATATAAGTTTTGGTATATGAAACGGAATTGTAGTCGATTGTAACTCCAATATTGTTTTGGCTTTTAATACCAATATTGTTTTGGCTTGAGAATAAGGAGGGTGCAGAAGAGGTAAAATGGGAAGGGGTATTTGCCTATTTTTGGACAGGGAAAAACGTAGTTATCTTGAGCGGTGTACAAATATGTACTTTATTTTTAATAATGGATGTTCCCTAATAGCATTGATCTTTGTACCATATGCAGATTAATTTCATCAAACTAAATTATTGCAATAACTGTAGCTATAATAATTATATCTTTAGAAAGTGTTTCTAATGTGAAAGTGAGTGATCATGATGGTGCATGCCGATTAAATTTATATACGTGCTTCACTGAGATTGCATGCATGTGCATGTCATTTCAATGGGGCAACATGCAATTATACGAAATACGTGCATGTGTGGTTTTCACTTGAAAAGTACATGTATGTTCAAAGGTGAACAGAAATGTGACGAAACTAACTTCCAGACGAAGGTCGTTCCTTCTACTTTTCAGGTAGTTGTATCCCTATATGGCCATATCAATATGCATAATTATGACATTTCATAATCATGCATGAAGTCCTCAGCATATTAATAACCTTACGTTTACAATAAAAAGTGTTGCTGCGTAATTATTTTGGGTTATCGTTTGGTTAAGGTAATAAATATCATGATGCAGATTTCAGAGTGATCCGAGATTTGGATACCTTGGGTAATAAATGCATGGTTCCATCAAACTGATTCATGGTATGGATCTATCAAAAGATCATATTATTCCCACACATATGCATGGTTGTCAGCTTTAATGATCCACTTAAGATATTATACTAACCATTATTCAGACTTCAGTCTACTAATGCAATAATTATGTTTACCCTTATTTGAATAATACATGCATGCATGTTTCCCTTTCAGCACCGATCATCACAATAAGCAGGATTTTTCAACCAAACTAAATTAATGCATTTTTCAGCTGGATACTGGAAATCATTGTATAAATACTTCGACCGTATTTCGTCATTTTCGTGCCAAGAAAATTAATATTCTACCGTGCATGTTAAAAAAGACTAGTTAAAATACTAGACTATATATTAACATGAAATGTGACCGTCTGCTGCATGCATGGAAATTCAATTCTTTCATTTCATATTTTAAAAACATAGTTTGAGTAATTAGTCAATTTTAGAAAGTGCTCATGAGAATACAGTACCGTACTGCATGACGTAATGTAGCTGTATTCGATTCTTTTTCATTTATTGTCATATGCATGCATGGAGGTATAAAGTGACAGTTAGCCTGCGTAGCAGGCGCTATTTAGGGGGAGGGCAAGGGTTGGGATGCAGGCTAAGTGACAATGATAAGTCGATTACAGCTAAGTAGTTTTAACATCTATAATTACAGATAAATGCGAAGGCTTCAGTTTGGATACATATAGCGGAATTGTACCAAACTATATAGTTATAGCACCTCTATAGGCTGAATTAAGCTCGATTTTCATGCACGCGCATTCTAGCTCCTAAATATCGAGTCCTATACAGTAATTTAGAATTTACATATATATACATATATATATATATATATATATATATATATATATATATATATATATATATATATATATATATATATATATATATACCGATATAGGGCTATATACATATATATACCATGCATGCAATAATCGGGGACCGAATCACATTTTGTACCATTGTGATAACATACCATTTGCGGATTTGCGTTATGACATGTCCAATTTGATCATCTCACTTTATTTTCCATAATAATATATATTATATAAAACTTTTCCAGATTGATATGAATAATCCGATTTGCATGCATACTGTTTACCAAGCGTTGAGAGTTTAATTAATCACTCACAATTCTATTATTCGGATTGAATAATGGCTATTTCCCTTTCAGCACCGATCATTTACTTTATACAGAGTATTAAAATTTGCACATGACTGAAGCAAAGAAGATTTTGTTTGCATAAAACTCCTACTGATCAGGTATAATTAGCATAATTTTTACACAGCTTATTCAGTAGTTATAAATATACCATTATAGTAAGTATTATTAAAATGTATCTGAAAATATATTGAGAATTTTAAATCCTATATATACTGTATAGAATGCGTGATTTATTGCCTGCATGCATGGTCGATGTGTCAAAATAAAGTCACCTTGTATACAGTGTGACCATGCATATACATGCACCATATTCTTAATAACGCGGCTAACCTCAGTATAAAATTATATAGTGCATGTATGTAGTCAGTATTTTATTTATAAGGTGAATGAAAACGTTACAGTCATTAATGTAGTGTGGTTTACCAATTTCTGGTAAAGATATTTTGGTAACACATTCTCAATATTTTGACCATGGATTACACGACGTGTATTTCAAGAACGGTGCTTTTTCCTGAATATTTCAACATATTGAGACTAGAATCGAATAAGCTTTTGTTGATTCAAAGCGCAGTTTTTAACTTGGGGGTCAGACAAACATTACCAAGTACTTTTTCTACCTTGTGTAAACTGTGTTCAAGTGTTTATGCACCAATGTTTGATTATGTCAATTAATGTCAAATTGCAAATTTGACGTTATTATATACTTTAGAAATATTCGCCTTCCTTCTCGGTTTCCGTTTCAGCTCCTATCTTTCACTGTGATTACAAAAGACGAGGATGAGAGTCATCTGCACAGACGTCTTGGTCATCGTGTTCAAAAGAAGAAAACATGAAGATTTGGTGCATCATTTCAATTCTCCTGATGGAGATATTGTGTAGTTCTGGGGTAACTATATAATATAGATTTGTTAACTATACTTTGACTTATCTTTTAGCACTTATATTAACTGTATTTTGTTGTGGAGTTTTCTTCTAAAACAATTACATGTGCTATATACGTATTATCTTAAACAAATTACGAATTCTGTTTCGAGAAAAGAAACGTTTAATCTGATCTTTTTATTTTGTCCAATAATATTGATTATAGATATTCTTTATTTAAAAATAGTACTAAGAAAATCACAATTGTTTGGAGAAATTGTTCGACTTCTATGTGTTTACTTCTCTAACTGGCGATATGTATATATAGGTTATTTTGAGGCAACGAGGGGATATGTGATTTATTCGCCGAGGCGCGCCGCGCCGAGGTGAATAAACACATATCCCCGAGGTGCCTCAAAATAACGACTTATTTTTCACATTGCGAGGTCGCGTTAATTAATGAGTCAGAATAGAAATAATTCTTAATGCCATATTGCCTTCGTTATGTTGGTTTTTTTTTCTCATTTTTTGTGCTGCAAAGACATTAGAGGTGAATATTAGGCTAAAGGGGATTATTAAACGGAAATTGATTAGAGGGGAATATTGAATATATTCCCGGATAGGAACAAAGGAAACCGAGCAAGGTGAAAAATAAATTGACATGTTTAGTTAATCCTCCCATTTAAAAATTCAACTTGTGCGTTGGATGAACTCAGTGTTTTACCAAGATAATTATATAGCAGGGTATAGCAATTCTAAAAGCTTATAATTATATGCATTAACAATCTGCAGAAAATCAAGGTACTGAAAGGAAACAATCCTGGGGTATGCTCGAAAAAGAATAGTGGTGAGGTCATGTTAGTTCGAGATCGACAAAACAAACATAAACTTCTGATCTGTACCAACGACAACGGCATGTTTGCATGGAGAACATTGGACGGTATTGTTTTATTATTTGAGATTTGTATACATATATATTTACTTATATATTTGCCTTTTATAAGAATACCGTATTTACTCGCTGGGTCTGCGCCGCATATGAGAGCAAAATTATTAAAGAGCGCCGCGCTCAATTAAGCGCCGCAGTTATTCACGGCGCTTAATCGAAGCACCGTATGAAAACTTGTTCTTGATGTCCAATCTGAGGAAGGAAATTGTTTAATTTCCTTCCTCAGATCGGACATCAAGAACAACATGAAATGGGCCAATTGCGGAATTGCTAAGCATCATGGTAGTTTAGTTACACAGCAGAATTTTTCAACATGGCGCTTACACTTTTCGAACGAGGGAAGGTGCTAAACAAACGAGAATTGCAAGAAAACTTTCATCATTTTCGCTTTGATTAAAGTTTTGACGAAATCTGTACGACTTGTTTCATATTTCTACTGCGTCTTGGGCTTCTACGAGCGAGTGCGGTTGAAATATTCAACATGGCGTACAGAGGCACTGAAGCGGGGAAGGAGTTCGATTCGTAGGAGTCATGAACAAATTTTTGAATATTTCACAACATGAAGGTGAGTACTGCATTAAATTATTTTCGAAAGAAGGAACACGTTGTAAACTATTATTTGCCTAAAAATTTTAATGATCGGTTTAATTCTAGCAACTCGAGAGACAAAAATGTTTGCACACTTGACCGTCCCAAAACAACAGATGTTTGATCAAACGTTCGTTTCACAACCACAAAACATTGAGGTTGTTTGGCGCGAAAAATCAAAACAGTTACTGTTTGAAATACCGAGCTTTCACATTTCAAAGGTTTTCAAAGATTTATAAAGTACTTTTAAGTACTATTTACTGCTGTTCAAGTGTCTTATTGGAGTTTTTAACTACAACATTTTTACGCGAGTCAAATTTAAAGCAACCTCGCTTGTTTTGAGTATATTTTGGAAAGTTTCGAGCCGTTTGGTTTGCTGTTTGTTTGGATAAATATGGCAAGTGACACGGAAAAAGTGCTAAAGGTAAAATGTACAGGGGAACGACCTGTTGTGTGCCACTTTGTCGAAGCGACAGTGTTCAAAATTCGGAATTATCCTTCCATAAATTTCCTGTGAGAAATATGGCTGAATTTTATATTGAGAATACAAAGTGAACCTTTTATAAAAAAGCCACGAAGTGTGTTTCTTACACTGAGAAATCTTTTAGTGCATTGCCAACTCTCGTAAAATATCATGTAGCCAAACCGTTAACAGTAGCCAAGGCAGGGAACATATATAATTATAGACAGCTAGTGAGACTGAACAACCCAGTTTGAACAACAAACGACTGGCATTGATACACAAGAGTCAACCAATGAAAGATTAAAAACTGAACATGCAGCTTTACAGTTATCATCTAAATACGAACAGTGTGTATATTGCGAATAGAACATGTACTTGCCAGTGACACAAATTTTAAATTCTATACAGGTTTTCAAAATTATGCAACATTTAAAGTTTTCTTTGACTTTCTGCAAGCACCATGTAATTTCTTAACTTATGCTGGTTCGAGTAACAATGTAGAATACTCGGCAGAATAAAAAAGCTGCGGCGAAAAAGATCAATGTCGCCTACTGTACGTTGTGGTCTTATATGGGTTGACATATTGCTCTCTGAATTGGCATTTCACAGCACATGTTTCTCGTACATATATGGGCTACTTGGTTAGAGTTTCTCTATCACAAGTTAGGATCATTACCCATCTGGGCATC